TCTTGGACTAACCATGAATGTTATTTAATAATTAACACCTTAGGGGATTAGAAAAGAAAAAAAAAAGGAAATAATAAATACAAAAGAATTTATGAGTGAGTGTGTAGGGCGATGCTTCTATGAGAGCCTCTCTTCCCATGAGTATGTGAGAATTAATCTAAGCCGTATAAAACAAAAGATCAATGGTGTTGGAAAAATAGCATTAAAATGGCATTTTAAGTGGCTATTTTGTGGTACAATTATCAGTGGGGTCCACTTCCGATTTGGGTCGGGTCAAAGTGGATTCGGATTCTACGTAGTGAGACGAAGAGTTTGATATATTGTACGCTCAAAACGGATAATGGGTGAATGAGATATTGATTCTCAAAGTAGACCCATTGAGTTGGAAAAATGAAGGGAAAAAATGAGCTTTTGTCCCACATTGGTTTGGAAAGAGGATTTGACCCCCCTTTTATACAAGAGCTTTTTTAGAGCTTGTAGAATTGTATAGCATAGAGGCTCTCCCGCGCGGGGGGGGGGGGGGGTGCAAATCAAATTCCAACTAGAGATAGCTCGTGTGCGCCGGCACCTACGGGCACGAATGTCGTCCAGAAATTGGCTGGCCTTGCGGGCTAAGTTATGCCAACTTTCGATATCATATTTTCCAACACAATAGCCACTTGGGTTCGGCCAAGACCGAGACGAGCTCGGTCCAGGCCGAACTGAACCATGGTTTCGGCCTTGGGAGGCCGAAACTTGATAGTTTCTGGCAAGTTTCGGCTAGACCGAAACAGAACGCAGCAATGTTTCGACCTTGGGCCGAAACTTGGCGAAGCTGAAAGTTTCGGCCTGGGGCCGAAATTTGGTGAGGCTGAAGGCCAACAGTCCATTAACTCCAGTTTTGAATTGTGAATTTAATTCTGTTAATGGGGGTTGCTGTTTCAGATGTTACACAACGTGTAATTAAGGCCATGATAAATGCTATTAAGTACTCCTCCCTTATATAAGAAGGGGTAGAAGGTAGAAGCTTTACATACTACGAACAAGTAAAAGAGCTCTACACGAAATTAGTTTTCAAGCTTCAAAATCTTCTACTTCTACTCCTTTCTTTAGCCTAACTGTGTTCAAGGCTGTTGTTTTAGTTCGTCGGGTTCGTTCGTTTGAGTGCTCGAACGTCGAACCGTAGCGCGTTTTATCCTGGGAAACCTAGGCCACGACGCTCCTAGCACTTTTGGGAGGTGGCAGATAAGGTTTTAAGGAAAGAGTGGTCTCTTGACTCACGCTAAAAACCCTTACCCAAACACGAGCCAATCTTTCCTTCTTTCGATTTTGGATTATGCTTCTAAGCAAAAATCCTCCTATAATGTTTTAGTTTGGGTGGAATTATAATCTGTGTATTATAAATTCCATTTGGTTGATATGTATATATCTTTTCCGTAGATATTCATGCATATAACCATGGCGGTCTGATTTATATATATATTTGTGTGTATATATATATATTTCGGATATAATATATCGAATAATATTTTATATACTTCGTGTGTGTATATATAAATATTATTTTACGATATTAAATCGATTTTTGGTTCATTATCACCAACAATCTTAAAACCTTATTATTTTGATAATGAACAAATCGGTGGATTCCAAGAGTATTGGATCCGTGAATGTTGCAGGAGGTGCACATTCAAATGGACGGAAAGGCAACGATGTTGCACATTCCGTGATGCCGGTTGACGGCAACAATGTTGGAAATGCTGTTTCCATGGGAATTGCAAAGACACACGATGGTGCTCCGGAGAACTTTGGTTCATGAGCCGGTAGACCTGTGGCTGGTGACACACATTTGGTACCTATTGTGTTGTCTAGTAGATCGGCTAAAAGCCATGAAGGATCCTATGATGGTGTAATGACTACATGGTCTGAGGACTATGGTAGTGTTACAAATGACTTCATCCGTAATCGAAGGAAAATCAAGCGAAAGCTTAGATTTCAAGAAAATTACGAAAAGAAGGAGAAATGCCACTACGAAGCAAACCGTCATCCTAGTGAAAAGGTTGAGGATAACTTCGCTGTATTTAAGACATGTGGATGGTTGGACGAGTGAGGTCACAACCGAGGTACCCCCGATGTGCGCTATGGACCACCCTTCGTGGAGTGGATGTTTGGAAAATGGAACAAGGCACACGGGTTGAAGGATTACTACGAAATAGGAATAATGGAAATTAGTTTCCAACGTATTTTCCTATTTATTTATTTTGAATAAATATTGTAGTATTCTTGTGATACATTTTATTGTTGAATAAAATGAATTGTTCCATTTGTGGGTGTTGAACTTTGTATATTTTAAAAATAATCTTGTGTGATATTTTTAATATATAAAAGATTCACTATGGGTGCGTAATGCATCATGGAGCATTATGTGGAAAATGCTAAAATGGCGTAACGGCCGGAATGAAATGTAACAGGCGTGTTACATGTTGAAATCCCGCAACGAACTTCGGTTCAGGTTCATGTAGAACGATACGAATTTCAAAAATCAATTTGTCAAAAATTGGAATAAATATATAATCGTGAGCGTAACAGCTCAAGTGTTGAATATTTTAAATAATATTCTAAGAACGATTATTTGAGTTTGATTCAACTAGTCAGAATTTTGGTTGAATTGATAGTGTTAATTGTGTTAAAATTAACTTGATCAAAATTCCAAATTATACTAGTATGAAATGTGATTTGAGACAAATTGTTGGGACGTCAAATTAAGCTTGAGCTTAATGAGAAATGCTAATTAAACTTAGCATTGTTGAAATGCTAATTGTGGTGCTTAATAGCACTGGACGTCCAAAAATGTTAAATTAGCATTATGCAAGAGGCTAATTAAATTAAGCATTAGGAAAAGTGTTATGTGATTAACACGAAAGGAAGTTTGGTTAATTGTGTAATTAACTAATAATCCTAGTGTCAGGTAGCACTGTAATTATAAATTAAGCAACGAAAGGTTGTTATGAGTTTATAATTTAAAGCAATAGAGATTGCTTTGGAATCGATGCGTTAGTTTAGAAGCAATGATTCGTGCTTGGTATAGCATGTTTCGTGCTTCACTACTAAGCACTGATTCGTGCTTCAATTTCGGAAGCACTGATTCGGGTTTGTGGCCTTTCGGTCAAAACCGAATGGATTCGTGAGGTCTAATCTGTTAGCACCTACGAGATGTGTTAGCGTGTAACACATGTTTATTCTTTAAAGAATAAAAAGGGAAAAACCAAATTAATCGTGGATTAATGCGGTTATGAATGATCGATGTGGTGAACGTGAAACACCTATTGGTGATTTCAGCGCAAGCGATGGTATTGTACTCGAGAGTACGGTACGGTATTCACCTCAATCGAACATTTTTTCCGAACATAAATATCAAGACGTTGATATGTTCGGGTCTACCTCAAAGTATGTGAGGCGAGACAATTCTTTGGACAAGTGAGTACCTTTTAAATAAGGTTACCCGCATGAAATTCTTACGAATTGTGGGTACGTAGGAAGTTTCCTACTAATGCCTGAAATGTGGGGGTGTCTTGCCAAAGTTGTGTATTGGTTCTTAGTACACGAGTCCAAGAGTTTGGATGTACATAAGAACACGAAAGATTGATTCAAGAAATTCATCGTTCTTGGAAGATGTATTTTTGTGAAGGATCAATAAAGGACCTAGCACGTTGAAAGGAACTTTCGGCGTAGCTATGGTTGAAGGGTATGAAAGAGAACCCGAGCTCAAAGTTAGACGTAGCAAGAGAGCTAGGATTGAAAAATCTTTTGGTCCATATTTTCTGACGTACATGTTAGAGTGTGATGCGCACAATCTAACTTGTTTACTAGAAAAGAAATTGGATTTTCTGACATGGTTGTTAGAAAATGAGCCTCGCACATATGTAGAAGTGGTGACTTCTACAGGTGGACCAACCCGAGAGAGGCTATCGAGAGTGAAGTAGATTCTATCTTAAAGAATCACACTTGGAACTGGTTGTTCTTCCTCCGAGTTGTAAAACCTTTGGATCCTAAGTGGATCACTAGTCGGAAGACAAAACCGGTTGGTTATATTGAAGTAAAATGGTCAGGCTTGTAATTGTAGATTACATGCAACGCGAGTGCCACAGCTACTTCAATATATATTCTCTTGTGATGAGAATTGGCTCCATTAGAATGATACTTGCCAAAGCCGTTTAGCGAGACTTGGAAGTTCATCAAAATGGATGTGTCGCTTTCTTAATAGACATGGAACAACCCGAGGGTTTTGTGGTTCCGCGCTATGGAAAGAAAGTGTGTAATTGGTGAGATCATTGTATGGGTTGAAATAATTGCCTTAGTATTTGGCATGTGAGTTTGATCATACAATGATGACCAACGAGTTTAGTATAAATAAAAGTGACTAGTGGGTCTGCGTATTGCGTACGATAGACGATGATATCACTGTTTGTTTATACACGATAAACTCATTGTGGGTAGTAACGATCAAATGATCAATTCTACCAGAAACATGTTAAATTCGAGATTTAACATGAAGGGCATGAGTTTGGCAGATTTAATCCTCGGGATTAAAATTGTGAGAAGACCGTATGGTCTCGTGTTAAACCAATCTCATTGTGTTGATTAAATCCTTGCAGAGGATGATGATCAAGTGGCTTGGACACCGTTAGATACTAACGTACAACTAGCCAAAAATCATGAAGATTGTAATTCTCGTGGAGAATACATTCAGGTATTGGTAGTTTAATTGTATCAAATGGGTTGTACTAAGCCAGATATTGCCTTTGCGGTTAACGAACTTGGTAGACATCTGAGTAACCCTAGTGATGCGCACTAGAAGGCAATAGTGAGAGTTATGAGATACTTGAGGTATGCTCGTGACCTTGGACTGCACTACGTGTAGATATCTAGCTGTACTTGGAAAGTATAGCATGTTAACGGGATATCAAAGGATGATAAATCCATCAAAGGCTACGTCTTTACGTAGGCAAGTGTAGTTGGTTGGATGGAAATTCTCGAAATGATTTGTGATAGCTAAGATCCGACGGGATCAAAGCTGAGAGCCTTACACTCGTGTCGCGAGCGAGTAGGCCGAATGGCTATGCCATTATTTCGAGAATGTTCCTAGTGGTGAACTCGTACCTCCAGTTTGTGTGCATTGCGATAGTCAAGCCAAAATTGGTTAAGTACAGAGTTAAATGTGGAATGGTAAGTCTAGACTTATAAGTCGTAGATATAATACCATTAAACAATTTCTCACAATGAGGGTTATCTCTATTGACTACGTGATGTCAAAAGATAACGTAGCGGCCGCTAACTCGCTAACCCGAGGGTAAGCAAATGGTTGTTGAGAAGTTGGAACGAGGAATGGGTCTAAAGCCCTTGGACTAAAAGTTCTATAGTGGATACCCAACCTAGCTAGCACCTAGGTTCAATGGGACAACTAAATTATGGAACGGAGCGTGTCACTGTGGGGGTCTCGGACTCCCTACCACTCCTCGTTAGAAACAGTGACTCCCACACGAGGCTAGCATGTTGATGCTTTAATGATTCTTGAGTATGCGGGATACTCGAGAAAGAATCACCTATGTAAGAGAGAAGTGAGGGTCGCTTCAAAGGAGAATTGTTGGGCACAATTCTTTAGAAACTCTCGCAGAACCAGGAACGGTGACCCACGACCAAAATGGGCACACTCATGAGAATAGAGCATGGTTGGGAGGTTCCTGTGTGAGATATGTCATCGTCTACACAAACGGCAGTCGGTTCAAAGACATCGCGTTCTACCGAACAACCAGTAGAGTAAACATTTCTTCACAAGGGAAGGTTCAAAGGGTATAGTGACTCCCTACCTATCCTATGCAGGGATCGACCGTTTGAACACAGTTGTTTCCAATTTCAAAATACCCTGAAAATCAATTTTTCATTCATGTGGGGGATTGTTGGAAAAATAGCATTAAAATGGCATTTTAAGTGGCTATTTTGTGGTACAATTATCAGTGGGGTCCACTTCCGATTTGGGTCAGGTCAAAGTGGATTCGGGTTCTTCGTACTGAGACGAAGAGATTGATATATTGTACGCTCAAAACGGATAATGGGTGAATGAGATATTGATTCTCAAAGTAGACCCATTGAGTTGGAAAAATGAAGGGAAAAAGTGAGCTTTTGTCCCACATTGGTTTGGAAAGAGGATTTGACCCCCCTTTTATACAAGAGCTTTTTTAGAGCTTATAGAATTGTATAGCATAGAGGCTCTCTCGCGCGCACGGGGTGGGGGGGGTGCAAATCAAATTCCAACTAGAGATAGCTCGTGTGCGCCGGCACCTACGGGCACGAATGTCGTTCGGAAATTGGCTGGCCTTGCGGGCCAACTTTCGATATCATATTTTCCAACACAATAGCCACTTGGGTTCGGCCAAGACCGAGACGAGCTCGGTCCAGGCCGAACTGAACCATGGTTTCAGCCTTGGGAGGCCGAAACTTGATAGTTTCTGGCAAGTTTCGGTCAGACCAAAACAGAACGCAGCAATGTTTCGGCCTTGGGCCGAAACTTGGCGAAGTTGAAAGTTTCGGCCTGGGGCCGAAATTTGGTGAGGCTGAAGGCCAACAGTCCATTAACTCCAGTTTTGAATTGTGAATTTAATTCTGTTAATGGGGGTTGCTGTTTCAGATGTTACACAACGTGTAATTAAGGCCATGATAAATGCTATTAAGTACTCCTCCCCTATATAAGAAGGGGTAGAAGGTAGAAGCTTTACATACTACGAACAAGTAAAAGAGCTCTACACGAAATTAGTTTTCAAGCTTCAAAATCTTCTACTTCTACTCCTTTCTTTAGCCTAACCTTGTTCAAGGCTGTTGCTCTAGTTCGTCGGGTTCGTTCATTTGAGTGCTCGAACGTCGAACCGTAGCGCGTTTTATCCTGGGAAACCTAGGCCACGGCGCTCCTAGCACTTTTGGGAGGTGGCAATTAAGGTTTTAAGGAAAGAGTGGTATCTTGACTCACGCTAAAAACCCTTACCCAAACACGAGCCAATCTTTCCTTCTTTCGATTTTGGATTATGCTTCTAAGCAAAAATCCTCCTATAATATTTTAGTTTGGTTGGAATTATAATCTGTGTATTATAAATTCCATTTGGTTGATATGTATATATCTTTTCCGTAGATATTCATGCATATAACCATGGCGGTCTGACTTATATATATATTTGTGTGTATATATATATATATTTCGGATATAATATATCGAATAATATTTTATATACTTCGTGTGTGTATATATAAATATTATTTTACGATATTAAATCGATTTTTGGTTCATTATCACCAACAAATGGCCATCATTATCTAATGTAATTAGCATTCAAAAAAGGAAAAAAGGAAAAAACGTACAAATTGGCCATTGAACTGAACACAAAAATGCAATCAGGCCATTGAATTCAAAAAAGTGTAATTAGATCCCTCAAGTAACCAAATCTGTTCAATTATACAAAATATCAAGTTAATCCTTTCCTCAACAGGTTACTATGCCACGTAGATATTAAATTAAACATAGTTTTAATTATATTTTAAAATTAAACATTATTACTTTTATTATTAGCCTCCACAAATCTCTAAATTACAAGTATTTTTGTGTTCAGTTCGATGGTCAATTTGAAATGTATCGTAAAATTTTCTAGGAATCGATAAAAAGTTTGTCTGATTCAAATAGAAAAAAAGTCTGTAGAGAAAGTTGAAAAGTTTGGAGGTTAGAGAGTTCGATTTTATCTATTTATATTAGTGAATTAAAAGTCTACATAAATTCTATTTTGTTAAAGTGTAAAAATTAATAAATTTTTGAATAACAAATAGATTTTTAAAGACTATAAAAATTTGAATCGAATATCAACAGATTTTTAAAGAGTATTTAAAAGTCTAGATCGAATATTACCAAACTTTTAAAGTTATTAAAAAATTTTAAAAATGTTAAAAATTTATGATTGAATAAACTTCCTAAGATTAACTTTGCACAAAGGGCATATATAGCTAGAGTACTAAAAATGTAATTTTCTTTAAGGTTAATTAGTGAAAATTTCAATTTTGGTCACACGACTATAGGAGCTTTGTTAATTTCAGCACCTAACTTTTAAAAGTGTCAATTTAGTACCTTGAGTATGTAATTTTTGTCAATTTTGGTCACTCCGGCCAAATTTGACCGGAAAAATTTAATACAACATTTAGTCTAAAATCTGAGGGGCAAAATGGTCTTTTGTATCATTTGGTGTTGACCGAATTAATTTATACTAAATGTTGGATTAAAATCTGATTTAGATTGCGATAGTAGCACCGTGGGGAAGACAAGGATCGTTTTGCATTCTCCGATGGAATCTGAATTGCAAGAGTTATCCAAGCCTTCCTATGAGAAAAATGACAGCTTTGTGATGGATAATTCTCCACATTCTATGTGCACGTTAAGCTGTGGTAATGTCATTCAGACCCCCAAGTCAGATTCAAGCTCAGTCCTAGATTTTGGATTGTCGTGGCTTAACGTAGATGGACATCATAAACAGCCTGGATTCGAATATGAACTTGATGAGGTTACAGAAATTCTTCGCAAAGTGAGCTTATCACCTTAGAATCAGATGCCAACTCATGATGCTCCTGGGATGAGTTTCAAGTTTACTAATTCAACCTCGCCTTTTAGTTTCGTCGGCGTCGCTGAATGTCAAAAACGTAGGGATGCTGCTGCATCTTTGCTTTCCGATTCCTCATTTGGAAATGCATCTGAGTCTAACATGAAAATATCGTAGAGGAATGGATTAGTCGGTGTCAGTCGAACTATTGAGATGGATGAGTTAGATTGCTGCAGGTGCTTGTCAGATGAAGAAAACGAGAATCTATGTTGCGCTAATGATTTATCTTAAAATAAATATGAGACATTGATCATAGAAAAGACCATTTTACCCTTCAGATTTAGATTAAATGTTGGATTAAATTTTTCCGGCTAAATTTGGCCGCCAATTTAATCGGAGTGATCAAAATTGACAAAAATTACATACTCAAGGTACTAAATTGACACTTTTGAAAATTAGGTGCTGAAATTAACAAAGCACTTATAGTCGTGTGACCAAAATTGAAATTTTCTCTAATATTAAAAAATATTCTATTCCTATTAGAGTCTCGTGGTTATTCACTTTTATATGCAATCATGGAGTGAGTGGATAAATATTCAAAAGGTACTTTTTAGACAACCAATGATACATTATATTTAAATTACTCAATTCCTTTTAGTCGACAGGGTTCATCGACGTCAACGTCAACCTTCGTGTCGGAATGTTTCTATCCTTCACTTTCACTATAACTCTACATCTCTATATGTACTCTCTTAATATACTCCATTTTTTACTTCTTGTTTACATGTCACTGTTTAATTCATTTAAAAAATAATAATGAATTACAGTTTTTATTACTTTTTTTTTATCTTCATCTAATAAAATCAAGACTCGTGACAGAAATGTTACTCCATTGGAATATATATAACTTAATAAAAGATATGAAACAAATTAAAGCAGGACGTACTTACAGCACAGCTACCGAAGCTCACTCTTCACCACACATATAACTATGTATGCAAAACCCCATCAAACTAGCGTGTCTATACATATGTATGTATATATGTAGAACTAGAAGCCACTCCCACTCCCATCAACTCATAAGTGCAATCATGGAGTGAGTAGATATATATATATATACTAGTTTTGTTTCTTTTGTTAATGCACAAGCTAAGTGTACGTACATCTTATCCAAAGAACACAGTTTGCAACTTTGATCCAGCATTATAATATTAGTCGTTAGTTTCTGCATTCTTAGGAAGAAATATTGGAAAAAGTTTTGATTTTGCAGAGGAATTTTGTTGGGTTTTTGGCTAAAACCCATCCAGGATGGATTCAACTTCTTTCTTCACGTCGTTAGGGACGTCGTTCGTGATATTCGTGGTGCTGATGCTGCTTTTCGTGTTGCTGTTGAGGAAGCCCGGGAACGCCGTCGTTTACTACCCCAACCGGATCCTTAAAGGGTTGGATCCAGTTCAAAACGGGTACGTTTCCCGGAACCCGTTTTTGTGGATCAGGGAGGCACTCTCTTCCTCTCAAGCTGATATCATCAGAATGTCTGGCGTTGATACAGCTGTCTACTTTGTCTTCCTCACCACTGGTAACAAAATTCATAATTCTTTTTTTTTTTCATTTAAAAAAATATATATTTTGGAGTGGTTCATGGTTGAAAGTTAGGTGTAATCCTCTATTTTTACAGTTAATATATTAAATTGGTGGTCTCCTAGGGCAGCGGCATCTAAACTTATTTTTGCAACAGTGATTAGGACTCACATGAAAAAATAGCTATCAAAAGTAAAATTGAGAGAGAGTAAAATTTGAGAGTACATTCGTTTACAAAACTAACATTTTAGTCATTTACAATAGTAATTTGTGTCCCTTCATTGTCTACAAAAGTAACTTTTTTGGTCACTCAATTGTTTGAAAGTGACTTTTTGAATCCAGCCATAATAGAAATAAAAAGGAAAAAATTAATGTTGTGAACAATTGAAAGGCAAAAAGTAACAACATGCATAACTGAAGGCCATAAAAGTTATATCCTGATAATCCAGGATAGAAAAGTTACATTTTTTTTTTCAAATGATTTAATTAATAATTGAAAATGTAGAAATATATAGCAAACAATTTTATAAGCTTTAATTTTCTATTTTCTTTTCACATTTAATATACTAAAGCTCCATTTGGGAGGGTGGTAGAGTGGTATTAGGAGCAATCCAACCGCCTGGCCTCAAAATGGTTGTTTGGCTAACAAGTCGTTGATGGAAGTTGAAGAGCGATGTAGATCTTCAATGTTAGATTCATTTTAATGTTAATAAGAAACTCCAAAATTAATGCTAAAAGCCTCTCTTTCAAGAAACTTCAACAACGTCAAACCAATTAAAAGGATTAAAAAGATTATACCATGTCAAGACCTTGTGGTCTAATAGCACTCGAGTTGGACTCTCATATGAGAGGTAGTAAGTTCAAACTTCAATAATACATATTATCAAATGAAGCTGCAATTTTGAAATTGTTCAGCGAAACTGTAGTTGTGTTGAAATTAAATTGCAGTATATACAAAATGAAACTGAATAACAATTTCAAATATTTGAGTGTATATTGTCCAACGAAACTGTAGTTATATAAAAATGATACTGTAGTTGTGTTGAAATGAAACTAAAGTATATATAAAATGAAACTGAATAACATTTCACATATTTGAGCGTATATTGTGCAATAAAATTATAGTTATATCGAAATGATAATGTACTTGTGTTGTAATAATGAAACAATAGTGTATATAAAATGAAACTGAATAACAGTTTCACATATTTGAGTGTATAATATTGAATGAAACTGTAGTTATATCGAAATGAAACTGTAGTTGTATTTAAATAATGAAACTGCTGTGTATACAAAATGAAACTGAATATATTATACAATCAAAGTTAAGTTACTTTTTGTGAACGGCGCGAAACGTAACGGTGTGGAATAGGTGCCATTTCTTTTCATTAAAAAAAACGACACCGTTTTGATGCCTGGACTACAATGCATTGTGAACCGCGGTCCACGGTATAATTTGCCCATTTCAAGTAAACCTAATCAAATTAGTTAAGATACACTATTAATTTGATAACCACAATGTTACAAGTTCACTCCTACCATAAGTCCTCTTATTTTGACCCAACCCGATCAGCTACTTATGACGACTAGGGTCATAAAATCAAATTACCTCGTGTACACCTCGAATAGTAACCGGAGTTTACATAGTATACCGACAACCTCATATTCTACCGACCTACTACTTCCTATAATGCGGACTTGTGACAGCGTCAATATTGCAGCCTTGGGGATAATGGTCTTTTCTGGCTTTATACTGCTGCCAACACTTCTACCGGTTGCTGCAACTGATCATAGTGTGAGGTCAAACAATAACACAAGGGAATGGTCTTTCAATGATCTTGATAAGTTTGCAATGGGGCATGTTGGAGTAAGTTTCTAAGCCATTATATTATTTTATTGATCGAATTGGCATTATTCTCAGTTAGTTACATTTCTATTCTCATCTCATCTTTACAGGAAAGAAGTCTGCGATTATGGGCGTTTATTATTGCCACATATTGGGTTTCTTTTGTTGCATACTATTTTCTATGGGAAGCATACAAGCATGTTGTTGATTTGAGAGTTGAAGCTCTAATGTCTTCTGAGGACAGAGCTGAGCAATTTGCCGTTCTTGTCAGAGACATTCCTCCAGTCCCTAAGGGTGAATCTAGGAAGGAACAGGTTGACTCCTATTTTAGTAGAATCTATCCAGAGACATTTTACCGATCAATGCTGGTGACAAACAACAGAGAGGTTAGTACGTATTCCAAAGTTTGTTGTTATATGTTCGAGAGAAAGAGTGCTAGACTTAGCCATCCGTTCAACAATCCCTTAACTAGCTACCCATTGATCTTATAGGACTTGTACTTAGTCCTTTACGAAACAGTTTTTACTTGTACTGGAATTCGAACTTGAAACTTGATATCATTTGTACGTTAAGTTCAAGCCCTTAGAGCATCTCCAACCTAAACTTCACACTAAAACACAAAAACACCAAAAATCTCCCCTAAATGTCACATCAAAGAGAGTATTCTCTACACCAAATTTTATTCATCTCAACTCATTATATTACACCAAAACACCAACATTTTCACCAAATGTCACATCAAATGTTATTCAACACTAAAATAATATGATTTCCCTAGTTTTATATTTTTATTAATTCAAATTTAATTAGTTTAATACAAAATATAATTTGTGATGTAAATAATAAATTTTTAGTAAAAACATTTTTATGTTGTTATGTTTTATTTATTTTAATTTGTAATTAAATTATATTCAATATTAGTCTTGTTTTAATCTCTTGATGAGATCTTTCAAATGATATAATTTATTTATAATAATATAATATTTATATTTAAGTATTTAACAAAATATATAAATACATAAAAACAAAATAGAGGATACAAAAAGAATTCACAAATTAAAGCAAGGGCAAAACGGAAATTAAATATATTTTTAGAAAATGGCGTGGATGAACAGTGGCGCGGCACTGTTCATCAACGCCAAATTATTTGGCGATTTTCCGCGATGGAGCCGCTCATTGGAGCTATCAAAATTGCTGCGATGGTGATTTGGCGTTAGAAATTGGCGTTTTGCCTACACGTTGGAGATGTTCTTATCCCGCCAAAAACTATACATAGTAGCGAAGGCGCAACTTTAATTCTTGATTGTCATCACATTTGTAAGAGACAAGAGGGTCGATGTAGGACCAATCATTATTTTGTGGTTCACGGTCCACACATACAGTTGTGTGGACCACAAATAAAAAACACATTTTTAATATACTAAAAGTACCTTACTTGTGTATGTAAAGTACATTATTTTTTACACTATGAACCATGGTACATAGAGCTTTGTGGACCATGGTTCGAAAACGGTGCTATTTCTTTATGTAAAGAAACGATAGTCGTTATTTTTTAACAGATCCCGTATTTTTTGTGTGTTCATGACAAAATGAAACAACAGTGTATATAAAATGAAACTGTCTCACATATTGTGTTTATATTATAAAATGAAACTGTAATTGAATTGAAATGATACTTTAGTTGTGTTGAAATGAAACTGCAATATGTATAAAATGAAAATGAATAACATGTCTCACATATTGAATGTATATTGTCAAATAGAACTGTAGTTGAATAGAAAATGATACTTTAGTTTGCTAAAATGAAACTACAGTATGTATAAAAAGAAACTGAATAACATGTCTCACATACTAAGTGTATATTGTCAAATGGAACTATAGTTATATCAAAATGATACTGTAGTTGTGTTGTAATGAAACTACATTGTATATAAAATGAAACAGTTTCACAATTGAACTACAGTTGAATAGAAATGATACTTTAGTTTTGCTAAAATGAAACAACATTATGTATAAAAACTTAAAAAGAGACTGAATAACATGTCTCACATATTGAATGTATATTGTCAAATGAAACTGTAGTTATATAAAAATGATATTGTAGTTGTGTTGTAATGAAACTACAATGTATATAAAATGGAAATGAATAACAGTTTCACATATTTGAGTGTACTATGTATGTCAAATGAAATCGTAGTTGAATTAAAATTATAATTTAGTGGTATTGTAAAAAGACTATAGTGAGTATAAAATGAAATTCAATAACATGTTTCATTGTAATAAGACTATTTTATGTATAATGTTAAATGAAATTGTAGTTGAAACAAAATAAAACTTTAGTTGTGTTGAAATGAAACTGAATATGTTATACAAACTGAACTAATTACACGGAACAACGTGGAACTGGTGGACCATGGTCCACAATATAATTTGTCTTTAAAGTACATTATTTGAGTACTGAAAGTACATTATTTTGTATATATACTATCAAATAATATACATTCAGTACACAAATAATGTATTTTTAGTATATTAAAAATGAACCTTACTTTCATGGTCATAGTCCACATAAAAATTTGTATCATGAACTTGACCTTTCACAAATCTTCCTTAAGCATCTCTTAATCGTTAATTGATGGACTTGACTCTTTAGTGGCCTCTGCCTAACAAACTGTATTGTACTTATGTGTGCTATGTTCTAATGATTCTGCAATTTTCCTTCTTTGTAGCCTTACCTAACTTCTTGAGTTTTTTCAGGTCAATAAAATATATGAAGAGTTAGTAGGATACAAAAAGATGCTTGAACGTGCAGAAGCCATATATGCACGGTCGAAAGAAACGACACCTGATGGACCAAAACCCACACATAAAACCGGCTTATTTGGTATTTTGGGTGAAAAGGTGGATTCAATAGAGTTCTATAATGAGAAAATCAATGACTTGACTTCAAAATTAGAAGCTGAACAGAAGGTCACTCTTAAGGAGAAACAAGAATGTAGTGCTATCATCTTTTTCAACAGCAGGCTGACTGCTGCATCTGCACCACAGAGTTTACATTTCCCGATGGCTGACAAATGGACGGTCACATATGCTCCTGAACCGCGCCAATTGATTTGGGCCAATCTTCCTACAAATTTTTACGAGAGGATAATTCGTCGATACGTTATCTACACCATTGTCTTTGTGACGATATTCTTTTACATGATTCCAATTGGCATGGTTTCGGCTTTAACCACTCTTAGTAATTTGAGGGAGCAATTCCCATTCTTAAAGCCCATTGTGGATCAACCTACAATCAAGACAGTGCTTGAAGCATACTTGCCTCAACTTGCTCTCATTATATTCCTGGCTTTGCTGCCAAAGTTTCTTTTGTTTTTATCCAAGGCCGAGGGGATTCCTTCCCAAAGCCATGCAACAAGGGCGGCTTCTGGGAAATATTTTTATTTTATAGTGCTGAATGTTTTCATTGGCGTCACAGTGGGTTCAACACTTTTTGATACATTGAAGTCCCTTCAGCATAAGAGCAGTATAGTTTCTTTGCTGGGAAAAAGTCTCCCAGGCAGTGCAACTTTCTTCTTGACTTATGTGGCTATGAAGTACGTACGTCATAACTCAACTTAATTAATTTCGATCTCTTTCTTTTAATTAATTAATGTTTGGATTACATGCCGCAGGTTCTTTGTTGGCTATGGTCTTGAGTTGTCCAGAATTGTTCCTCTAATAATGTTCCATCTAAAGAGGAAATACATGTGCGAAACAGACGCTGAGTTAAAGGAGGCCTGGAGTCCTGGAGATCTAGGATATGAAACTAGATTTCCTAAAGACATGCTGATTCTCACCATTTGTCTTTGCTATTCAGTGATTACTCCATTAATTATTCCATTTGGGGCAGTTTACTTTGGCTTCGGATGGCTCGTTCTTCGCAATCAGGTAATCTTTAAATTATATTGTTCCATATCATCTTGCTGTTGCTATATGACAATGCAAGAACAAATATTTTTATCACTTAAACAGTACACAATATAGAAACAGATGGAAGTGGCCCGAATTAACTAAGTCTGATTAGTTAAAGGAATAAAAGAACTAAAGTATGTAAACACAATATGGTATTTTGAAGAGACAATGTAATAGTATTATCCTAGTAATGGTTCCAAGTAGTACAGTACAAATAAAAAGAATGTTATGAAGAGACAAGTTCTATCCTAAATGAGAACAAAAGACCCCTTTTATACCCGCCCTCCCCTCGTAATTGCCTCGTGCAAATTAGGTCCCCCCACTCGGGGCGGGTGATTACGACCCCGTTTGACCGCATCTCCGTCACCTTAGCTAAGCTCTCGAAGGACGACCCCGCCAACCTGACCTTGTGTTATTAACATAAAGCCTGTAAGCTATTTATACACGTACAAGAGGTAAAGTAGATAACTAAAACAACAATAAGGAACTATTCTATAGGATGAAACTAAGCAACAAATATATGATAATAAATTAAATCATTAATCCTTAACATGTCCCCACAAGATACAAGACTACAAGAGCCATTATTGGAAACTCCAATCTTGGAACGAAACCGCAAAAAATAAGTCACGACCAAGCTGTTTGGTAAGTACGTCGGCAACCTGATCCTTTGAGCTACTACGATAGACACCCAAAGTGTCGTCCATGACACGTTTCCGAATAAAAAAATAGTCTAACGCAAAATGCTTCATCTTCGAATGAAACACTGGGTTCTTCGCAACATACGTGGCTCCCATATTATCGCAATACAACAGTGGAGAATGCGGTAACACTATACCCAGCTCAGACAAAAGATTCCGTACCTAGATTTCCTCAGCCGCCGAACTCGCCAAAGCACGATATACTCAGCCTCGGTTGAAGACCGTGAAACAGTTTTATGACAAACAGACTTCCACGAGACAACATTTGAACCAAGACAAATAACAAAACCAGTGGTTGAGCGACTGTCATCTCTACTACCACCCCAATCAGAGTCTGAAAAAGCTGTCAGCAACAAACTGGAGCATGCACGTAACAATAAACCATGAAATAATGTACCTTTCAGATACCGAAGTAACTGTTTAACGACACCCCAATGACATGCCTTTGGCGAGTGCACGCATTGCAACAAGGAATTAAGAACATAAGCTACGGTTGGTCTACTGACAGACAGATACTGAACCATTCCAATCAACCTACGAAAATTAGTCGCATCAACCACAGGTTCCCCCTCGTGAATAGACATGGACGTCATGGTAGACATCGGGGTGGAAACAGGTTTTGCATCATCCATGTTATATCGAGTCAGAATGTCTGCAACATACCTACTCTGGGAAAGAAAATAACCACCAGAAATGGGTACAAGTTCAACACAAAAAAAAAAAAAAAAAAAAAAAATGGTGTAGTGTGCCTAAATCCTTCCAAAAAAATTTTAAGCATCACTGATGGTTTTCTTAAAACCAAACTTAATCAGAAAAGATGACTGCTCAAGGTACCAAGCTCGCAAAGCTTAGCTTGCTTCAAGCCATACATGACCCTTTTTAAACTTACTGATGTAGTTAGGCTGGGTATAATCAACAAAACTCGGGGGTTGCTCCATAAAAACCTCTTCACTCAATGTCCCATTTAAAAAAGACATTGTTAATGTCAAGTTGTCGTGTAGACTACCCTTCAGACAATGCATAACCGGACTGAAGGTCTCAATGTAATCATAACTAGACTCTTAAAACATCACTTGGCTACTAAACGAGCCTTGAACTTGTCAATAGTACCATCAACATGCCGTTTGACCAAAAACACCCAATAATTCTCTGCCCAACTGATGCGAACCTGGTTGGTCCGATCTTCTCTTCACACTCGAATTACAGAAAATATTGTAGGATGGTTTATTCGGTTAGGTGAATTTGAATTGAAGGTTTGATTTAGGTTGGGAAAAGGGCTAATTTTTGGATTTTGATAAGTCTTCGACCACACCGGGTTATACGGGTGGGGTTTTGCACTTGATAAGTCAGGTTTGCCATGACAAACTCACGGCCGAACTCATTCCGAGTTCCAGAAAACACTCCGTTTTCTAAATCAAAAATTCACAACTCTATATTTTATTTGACATGCAATGAGCTTAAATAGCCATTAACAAACATATTACAACCACATAAATCATAAATGAGATAATTATTAAAAGTACAATAAACTAATCCTAACCAACAAATTAAGATAAACTTAAATAATAATAATTCTAACAAACTAAATCTAAAATAGTTTAAAGATAATCATCTTAATTAATTAATTAATTAATATAACTAATTCTAAAATATTTTTAACAATTCACGTGGCCAGCTACCTAGGAGAACACTGATCAAGATTTGATCTTGTTGATACCAAGTAGTGTAAGCTGGATTTATGATAGTGCAGGCTGCATTAGTGAATTGAGTATGTGCTCCTTTTGTGCCATCAACATAGCCTAAGAGATCAAGGCCAATTAAGGCGGACTTCACTTGTCGCTACCAAACCGGGAAATTAGTGTCAGTCAACCGGATGGGGAAGTCGGTTAAATGAACCAACGATGTTGTTGTAGAAGCGGAAGCCATTGAGGGAAGGGAAAAAGGAAAAACATAGGATGGATAAGAAGGGATCTTGAAGAAATTCTCAGTTAGAGAAATATGGCTCTAGATACCATGTAGAGATTGTGAAGAACTTGTGTTATTAAGCTCAAGCCTATAAGCTATTTATACACGTATAAGAGATAAAGTAGGTAATAAAAACAACAATAAGGAACTATTCTACATGATGAAACTAAGCAACAAATACATGATAATAAATTAAATAATTAATCCTTAACATTGGGTTCAGGTCGGCTTGTCCAATGCCGACCTTGAGGTCAGCCTTGGCCTCCAGGGGCCGACCGTGGGGTTGGCCTAGCTCAGGTCAAACCACCTTGGGCCGATCTCATGGTAAACCTTGGCCAACGGGTTGACCTCGGGTTTGGCCTAGCCTGGCTTGGTTTGCCTCCTCTCGGGTCGATTCTCCTTAGCATGCGTTCGTGTCGGTTTGCTTTGGACCAATTCTTAATATATATATCATCATCCCCTGCACTCTCCAAGTTGTGAGTTATCATCAGCGAGAGAAAGTAGATTCCCGAGTCGCGATCGACATAGCATGCTGACCCTGGCCGTTGTGCCATTGCATGGCTGACTGTGGAGGTTGAATTTGTTCACGCTACCTAATCACACCCCATTGCGCCATGTCTACTCGAGCTATTCATTAGCAGGACGCCGCGGTTTTAAGCTCAAGTTTGTTTGGAATCTAGCTTGTTTTGGACTCTTCCCTTATAAAGACCTAGGGAGCCCGAGCTTGTTGGGGGAGGTCGGCCATATGGATATAGATGGGGTCGACAACCTCCCCCATCCTTCCCTACTTGTGTCGATGACCGATTCTTCCTGTATGATAGTCTCTTGGTGTCCCTTAAAGAAGTTCAGTTTTGACAACGCCCCCAATAAAGTGCATTCACATGAATGAAGATGAAGTCGGTCTAACCCGAATTGAAGAACACTTACACAAATAAAGAATATGAGTGCTATTCCATAACGAATGGAATAGATAATGAATAGAATTTAAATTATATTCCATTATTTGGTTCACTAAAAGAATAGACTTCAGAAATTTTATTTACAGTGTTTGATTGATTTAAGGAATAAAAATGGAATAACTATTCAAATGACATAAATATCCTTCATACAGAATGTTTTATATATATATATATATATATATATATATATATATATATATATATATATATATATGTGTGTGTGTGTGTGTGTGTGTGTGTGTGTGTGTGTGTATGTGTGTGTGTGTGTGTGTGTATGTATCTGTGTGTGAGAGAGAATAACAATAACAATAACAACAACAACAACAACAATAATAATAATAATAATTATTGTTGTTGTTGTTGTTGTTGTTACACATATTTATATTAAAAAAAGTTATTAAATAAGGACAGTTCAAATATAAACTGTTAAGAAAGTAAAGAGAAGATTTCTGAATCTAGTATCGTATAGAAAAGATAATATGAAGCCCTATAAATACATGCTAGAAGATTTCGAATAAGGAAACAAGTTTTCATATGCATACCTACCTAAATCCCTAAGACTATATATATATATATATATATATATATATATATATATATATATATATATATATATAATCAAATGAGACAACATCTTTCTGTGAGACTGTGAGACACAATATGAATGCACAAAGTTTACTACATGAATGCACATATTGAGTAAAGTATGTGCAATTTGCCCAACATGAGTGCACAAAATTTAGTGTGCGTGCATTTCTGTAGTAGATTTTGTGCATTCATGTTGTGTTTCACATTTTCACAGGGTGATGTTGTCTCATTAGAACATTAGCCTACACACACACACACACACACCCAAATTCTAAATTCAGAAAACCCAAAGAAATGCGGTATCGAATTCAATACTTTAATGTCAATGGGGTGTTATGTCACATTTAGGTTATTCTAAACCAAAATACACAGGCTACAAAGGTTTTTTACTCAAATTCAAATACAAAGCTTTTATCTAATACAAAAGTTCTATCTAATCAACTATACCATAATTGAGGTACAAATTCTACGCTGCGCTCTAGACTAGCCACAAGATCCAGATCCTGAAATCATATTTTACAAAATTAGCGAATAATGCTAAGTAAAACCACTCCAACACGTAAGACTACGTAGATATACTTTTATACTCAAAATAGGTTTTGCAACGGTATGACTACATATATATATCATACCAACGAACTCAGTTGAAGGATTCAAAAGATAGAAGCACAATTATAGGGACACTAAACTCAATCAATAGAAAGACAACTCAAGTCAAGTTCATAAACCAACAACGGGTGTAACCAGATTACTCAACAATAAAGATTCCAAGAATCTAACACAACAACAAGCACAGTTCCAAGAGTTCACACTTCAACAAGTTATAGTGGTATATATATACATAGCCAAGGGATTATATATCAAATAGCCAAGTAATAATACAATATCCAACCTTTACGCCAGCCCATCTTTTACACTAGTCCATCCTTACACCAGTTCAACCTTCTCCACCAAAGTGAAGCCTAAGCTTCTTGCCACCGATACAAATGGAGTCAAAGCTCCTAGCCACCGATAAAAATGGAATCGAAACACATAGTAATCAATACAAGGAGCCGGAGCTCATATTCCACCAATCAAATAATATAATATATATTCAAAGAAGTGTGTATATATATGTGTGTGTGTGTGTGTGTGTGTGTGTGTGTGTATATATATATATATATATATATATATATATATATATACACACACACACACACACACACACACACACATATATATATATATATACACACACACACACACACACACACACATATACACACACACACACACACACACACACACACACACACATATATATATATACACACTTGAATGGATATCAAAGGATTAGGATAGAATGACAACCAACAATTGAAGCCAAAGGATACACTATGCATTATAATAACTCAACAATGCACGAAGGATGAATAAAAATGCACCAAAAGCTAACTAACGATGCACCAAAGACTAACCCACAATGCACCATACTGGACAGAAACTACACAACAACCAACGGGTAGGAGTGGCGGGTGTTACCTACCCGTCACTCACCCCTGCAATAGACCTAGCGGGTCTGTCTCGCGGGAGTTAACCACCCGCGAGGTCCACCCGCAAGGCCAAAAGGATGAACTAACGGGGCTGTCTTGTAGGAGTTAACCACCCATGATACCCACCCTCTAGGCCAAAACGAAGACAAAAACAGAACAGATGCTACGCAATACAGCAACCTCAACAACAACTCAACAGTGAATCAGAGACCACACCATAGCCAAAACCAACAAGAACACTCTAGAACAAAGCTAGAAAACTATCAATATCAACAAGGAATTCAAGAACAAGAGATATGATATCAAGACAACACAAGAATACTTCTAAATCAAGAAATAGCTCAAGAATGTCAACAAATTCATACTCAATGGATTCAAGAACATCAAGAACATTTATATAAGTTGGAAATAGGTTTTGATGGAAATGAAATTTAGCTTTTAAGCTATCAATCCAAAGCAAAACCCTCCTAGAAGCTAACCTAGCTCATCCACCTCCACTTGATCATCTTAAACCCAAGAAATCACCATAAGGAAAGGAATAAGAAGCTTGAAGATGGAAGGATGGAAATAGGGAGGAAATCTTACCAATAGAAGATGAAGGAAGATGAAGCTTAGTCAATATCAATGGGGGAAATGAAATGGAGAATATGTTGGGTGTAATTTTCGTGTAAATGAAGAGAGAAGGTGAGGGAACTGAGGAAATTTCATCAGGTGATTGCTATTCTCATAGATATATATTAGTCTAGGGTTGTAATTATTTGCAAGACTAATGGGTTATGCTTGAAAGGAAATAGGTTGGGTTATTATATAACAATGTACATATACAATATTAGAGTTGGGCTAGAGAACTCATTTAAATAAATAAATAGATAGGATAAGGAAAAGCTCATATCAAAAGGAATTAAATGTCTTTAGAATAAATTTATGGACTAGTATAAAGAATTGGGCTTTTAAATAAATACATATAGGCTAGGGATTTATTTATATTAAGGAAATTGGGTTCAATTGGAGGAATAAATCCCTTGTAGAAATAATTACGGGATATAATTTCTGAAACACACACACACACACACACACACACACACACACACACACACACACACACACACACACACACACACACACACACACACACACACACACACACACACACACACACACACACACACACACACACACACACACACATATATATATATATATATATATATATATATATATATATATATATATATATATATATATATATATATAATCATGCGTAGTAAAGGATATTTTTAGTATTATAATACAAAAGCTATTCTCAAGTACTTGGGAATAACTAATACCAGTCTCCCCCCCCCCCCCCCCCCTCCCCCCGCCCTCCTCCTCCTCCTCCTCCTCCTCCTCCTCCTCCTCCTCCTAAGAATATAATGGTTATTCCCCTTGTAAAGGGAATAACTCATTCTTAGGAATGCTATTCCCAGGAATAAAAGGTCAAGATAAACAATGGAATAGGGCTATTATTGTGAATGATATTCCATTTCCGACATATTCCATGAACCAAACATGTTGTTATTGATGTATTTTTACTGAACTTGAATAGTATTTGCCTTTCTTCATTTGATCAGTTGGTCCCGTCATCTATCTCCTCTTGTGTTCTCCTATTTGTTCTAGTACATTTCTTGTTTTGCCCCCTTGGTGGTCTGTGTGAGCGTCTCATTGCCTTGCCAAGGCCCCCTTTTGGCCCATACAAAGTTAGCTCACATATTACGTTCTTGTTTCCTCTTTGTGACCGACCTTGGGGCAAGTCTTTAGCTCCCTATGAGATCGCCTAGGAGCTTGGCTCGACCTAAGGTTTGCTGAGGCAAATTAGTCCTAAAGGACGGGGCTTTGGTCGATCATTGCCTCCTTAACCCTCAATCCAATCATTTTTTAGCTGACCAACTTCAATATCGGCCTTAGGCTCCTAATGAAGTCATCTAGGTGCCCACCACGACCTAGAGTGCTTTTGAGGCCAATTGGTTCCCAAGTACGGGGCCTTGCATTCTCCTTTCTTTTGTGATTGATCGTTATTGTGCTTATCTCTCTTGCATTTGCCCTTCTTGTTTTTGCTCATACTGGTCTTGCTAATATTATGGTTGACTTAAGTAACCCCGGCCACCACCAAGGTCTTTCTTGGGCTTAGCTCACAGAATCCTCACATGGTGCTTCTCTTGGGTGTGCATCAAAGGTCGCCCATGTGGTAATAAGCTCTTGGTTTTCTTCCTTGACCGACCTTGGGGTTAGCGTCGCACTTTGTTAGTGTCAATCATTGTGCTCAGCTTGGCCTCACGCCTTTGGATTAGCCATAGTGCTCAGTCCAGCCTTGTGCCTCGGGGTCGGTTGTGGTGCTCAGCTCGGCCAACCTCCAATGTAAGGTTCTCTTGACATTGGAATGCCCATTGGTTGTGGTCAGAGCCTTTCTCATCTATGAGGTTCGTCTTGTTAGTCTCGAGGGAGGTTTGACCTCATCTTCCTTAGGCAGTTATTTCACTACCTCAACTAAACCCTCATCGTTTATGTTATACTTATTTGTTTTGTACGAGCTTATCTTACTTTCGTGGTGGTCGACTTAAGTGTTCCCCTAGGCTAACTCCGTGATATGTTTTTATTTATCCTCAGTGAGCGACCTCGAGGTTGACTTTTGGCTCCCGAGCCCCCAATAGTGAAGCCTTGCATTTGCGCTTCTTTTGTGATTGATCGTTACAATGCTTATCTCTCTTGCACTCGCCCTTCTTTTTTTTTGCTCGTGCTTGTCTTGTTCATATTGTGGTTGACTTGAGTATCCCTCTCCCAACACCAAGGCCTTTCTCGGGCTTAGCTCACTAAATCCTCACATGGTGCCACTCTTGGAGTATATTATATTGATGGTGGCTCATGTCATGTGCCAAAATCTTGGTTTTCTTCCTTGACCAACCTTGTTGGATCTCACCGTTGTACTATGATTACTTCTCAGTTGGTCACCCATCATGTAACTGCTGTAAGTCAGGCACGCTTAACCACTAAGTAATTTAGCTATCTGGTTGCTATATGCTACTTAAAATTAAGGGAAAATGGCACTTTTTCCCCCTTTGTTATATACTTATAGCATTTTTTTCCCTTAAATTATTTAAGTGGCAGTTTTTCCCCCTGATATATTAAATGGACATATTTACCCTTAAAATAAATATTTCATTTATTTTTCTTCTCCAACAAATTATAACCACGATTTGAAAAAATAAAGTACATTAAGTGTTGAATTTAGAATATTTTAAAAATAAAAAAATAAAATTTTAAAAGAAAGGTTGAACCAACCGTTCAAATTGGATCCAAAATTGTGAACCGACAGTTCAAAATAAAACTCAAACCGCGATTATATATACTTATATGTGAGAGTCAATATAAATGCGGAAAAAAACATACACTATTTGCAAATATTATAATTCTAATTTAAGCTATTGCTAGTAGTTGTTCCGATTTGAACCTCCGATTTACGGTTCAGGATCTATTTTTTTTTTCCAGTTCATGATTTTAATAAACGGAAACCCAAATATTGGGTTATGTTATGAATCATAACCGAAATTTTTTAATTTGATTGCTATAGTGTTTGGTTCAGTTCAAACCGAACCGTGGTCATCCATACGTATAAGCAATAATTTGTTGAAGAAGAGAAATAAATAAAATATTTGTTTTAAGGGTAGAAATGTCCATTTAATATTATCAGGGGGAAAAATCGCCACTTTTATAATAATTGAGGGGGCAAATGTGAATACATGAATAACTCAGGGGGAAAAAGTGCTATAAGCATATAACACAAGGGGAAAAAGTGTCATTTTCTCTAAAATTAAATATTTCTATCATTAATTAGTGCTTTGCAACCAGATAGTCAAAACACAAATTATAGAATTAATTAAGTCTTATGGCCTGGATTAACTAATCGATTAATTAAAGGAATAAAAAACAAAAGTATGTAAAAACAATATGGTATTTGGAAGAGACAATGTAATAGTATTATCATACTAATGGTTTCAAGTAGTACCAAGAATGTTATGAGACAAGTTGTGTCCTAAATAAGGACAAATGGTTCCTTTTATACTTGTCTTTCCCTCGTAACTGTCCGCAGGGGCGGAGCCAGAAATTTGGTTTGGGGGGTGGGGGGCGAAGCAGTAAGGACGGATTCAAAAAAATATTTTCAGTAAAGAGATAATTTAAAAAAAAAATAACAAATTATCTAAGAAATATAGTTGTAAATATTGTTGGATATGAGCGAAAAATAAAATACATCGAAACTATATAAAAATATTCATAACAAAATATGAAACATAGTTAATTTGATAAAATAATTTGAATAGAAAACACATTATAAATTACACATCTTACTATTAATATAAAAGAATGAAGAAAACACATTATAAATTACACATCTCACTATTAATATAAAAGAATGATATACGTTGATGCCAAAAGATTCAAACCCTTTGACATTTACTATTATTACCAAACATGTGCTCTACTAACTAATCTAACTCATTTCTTGGTAACATTTAATTGTTTTTTTATACTAATACTAAAGACTGTACTATATATACATATATACATACAAATATTATATATGGGGTGGGAGTGGGGGTGGGGTGAGGAGGGCCGCTGCCCCCCTACCCCTTTGGCTCCGTCTCTGACTGTCCGTGCAAATTGGGCGCACCCCTCCAGGTGGATGATTATGGTCCCGTTTTACCATGTCTTCGTTGCCGACCGAGCTCACGTAGGACAATCCTACCGACGACCCAACCTCTTGGGCTTGGGTTAGGTTATCCAAGGTCAACCTTGAGGCCGGCCTTGGCCGCCGGGGCTAATTGTGGGGTTGGCTTAGCTTGGGTTGGACCACCAATTGGGAGGTCGGCCTTGGCCAGCCGACCAGTCTATACTAGCCTGGGTTGGTTTCCCTCCTCTAGGGTGGGTTCTCCTTAGCATCCATCCGCCTCAGTTCACTCCGGACCCATTTTTAATATTACCATCAAAAACCAGGTTTAAGACTGCAAGTGATTTTTGACAGCACTAATGTTGTGAACAGGCACTGAAAGTGTACGTTCCATCATTCGAGAGCTATGGACAGATGTGGCTGCATATGCACATGCGGGTTGTGGCTGCCTTGATTCTGTATCAGCTCACGATGATCGGTTATTTTGGTGTGAAGAAGTTTTACTACACCCCACTTCTCATCCCGCTTCCAATACTGTCCTTCATCTATGCCTTTGTCTGCAATAAGAAATTCTATCGCTTCTTCCAAAGCACAGCCCTGGAAGTTGTTCCTCCAGGTGAATTAAAAGAAGTTTCCAACATGGAAATCATCTTCAACTCCTTCATTCCACCATGCTTGGACGGCTCTGCTGTAAAGTCTCATTCGGAAGATGCTTTATCCCAATTTTCAAGATCAGCTTCCAATGTGTGATTAATATAATGTGCATATATTTGTTTGTTGGCCTTTCTTCCAGGGTGTTCATATGTAAGTTCATGGTTTTGCTGCAGTGATTACGTAGTATGAATGAGAAAATATTAGTCGATAGTGCAGGGCTTTGTCAATAGAGTGGATCAGCATATATTCTGTGTGGTTTTTTTTTTTTTTTTTTTTTTTTTTTTTTTTGAGTACATATAGTTCGCTTTTGATTTGATGTATTATAAGCATTTAGTTTTTATGTTTTATTTATTACAATGCTTTCCAGGCTCAATCTTATCATTTTATAAGCGGGGCCTAACAACAAAATGGGTCCTATATAAAATAAATCTATAATTTTCATAACTAAAATTTAAATTAAATAAGAAAAAAATGTTAGTGTCAAATAACTTGAAATAAGATTTACAAGTTTTTAACAATTTTACATACACCATAATAATCATGAAAATAATTTTAGATGTTTTCCTAAATGCAAAATTATTAATAACCTCACATGTAAGTGTGGGAATTCATAAATAAAGAACTAGTATTTTCACCCGTGCGATGCACGAAATAGATTTGTTATAATATTTTAAGAATATATTGATCGATATACAATTATATAAATTATAATAACACCGAATATTATATAATGCAATTGAAGAATTGAGTTAGATCGATTGTATTTTCTTATGTTATCATTGCTTGAATTCAAGAAAATAATTGTCCAATTAATAGCCAATGTGTAGATGTACGCATCCGGTGCATAAACTTTAGAGATTTTATATATCACTGTTTAGGATTTGTATTAATTGGGCAAATTTGCTCGTTGTCTAGCAACGTAGTTATAGAAACCATTTGCTATCCTAATTTATTTGTATGAAATATATATTTTCTGTGTAGATATATTAACAAATTCATTTTGTGTAGATTTATTAACAAATCCATTATGTGTGAGTATATTCAGTATGAGTATGAATGTAAATTATAGTATGAGTCTAAATTATAATATTAATCCAATATTAATAAATAAATAATATAAATTATATATTTTGTGAGTAACAAATTTTTTGTGTGATTATATTCTGTGGAAAACAAATTCATTCTGTGATAAATTTGTGTGATGTATATTGAAGTATGACTGTCCAACATACAACATAAATATTAATATTAATTGATATTAATATAATATCACTAAAATACAGTGCTATTTAAAAAATGCAAAAATGCAATATGTACCATAGAGTCATGAAATAAGCACTCCAGTGTTTGGTGGTTGACGGTTGTGCGTTGATATTTCCTGGACAAATAACAACGCATCAACCGGAGCCTGTATGAGATAGATTAAAGGCAGTGACAAAATGTGATTCCATTACTAAACAATAAAGAGAAAGTTGAAAAATAACAGACAAGAATTAAAACTATATAATGGTAGAAAATCAGTGAGTTCGTGATCGTTTTATATTCAGTGAATTATATCCGGGAATCATATTAATTTGAGTCAATTATTAATTTTCATTTCCTTTTCCAATTGGTCTAATTTTCGTGCCATTTGGTAAAATTGTAGTACGAATAGTAATTGTATTACCATATTTTTACAATATTAAGCAAACCTTAATAGTATAGGACTCTTTTGGGCGGGAAGTTAAAATGGAGGATTTTGTTTTAATATATAGTATAGTATTTATTATTATTATTATTATTATTATTATTATTATTATTATTATTATTATTATTATTATTATTATTATTATTATTATTATTATTATTATTACTGTTGTTGTTGTTGTTGTTGTTGTTGTTGTTGTTGTTGTTAGTAATTTTAATCTAGAATTGTATTAGGAATATGAAAGTAGGAAAAGAATATATTGTATTACCATATTTTAATGTACAATTGTAGTACGAATAGGAATTGTATTATCATATTTTTACAATATTACGCAAATCTTAAAAGTATATGAGTATTTTGGGCGGGAAGTTAAAATGGGGAATTTTGTTTTTATATATAGCCATATAACACACCTTATTAAAATAATTTTGTAAATAAAAAATATAAATAATTAAAATTGCATTGTGGTATTTATTTCGTCTTGCTGGGAAGTATATAAAACACACGCCTAAATGATTAAAAGTTACCATAAATAATCAAAAAAAAATCTTGTACATCCAATCTCAAAATCCAACGATCCTCATGAATCCACACTGTTTGTATTTTAAGCACTGTTCGTATTTGAATATAATCCTATATATATATATATAGTCGAGTTCAGGTTCAGCCGCGCGGTTAGTGCGGCCGCACCAATAGCTATACAAATATGCACCATCAATGTTAGGAAATGCACAACAAAAAACATGCACCATTAGATATGTATCACCAAAAACGCACCATTAGGTATGAATAAAAGAACACACAGTGTTATGATAAGAGCCAGCTAAGGTTTGGCAATAATAGGTGCAACTTGTTGGAAAAAATAGCTTAAAATGGCATGTTAAGTGGCTATCTTGTGGTACAATTATCAGTGGGGTCCACTTTCGATTTGGATCGTGTCAAAGTGGATTCGGATTCTTTGTAGTGAGACGAAGAGATTGATATATTGTACGCTCAAAACGGATAATGTGTGAATGAGATATTGATTCTCAAAGTAGACTCATTTGAGTTGGAAAATGAAAGGAAAAAGTGAGCTTTTGTCCCACATTGATTTGGAAAGACGATTTGCCCCCTTTTTATACAAGAGCTCTTTTGGAGCTTGTAGAATTGTATTGCATAGAGGCTCTCTCACGCAAGGGGGGGAGAGGGGGGGTGCAAATCAAATTCCAACTAGGAACGAGATCGAAAAGGCTTGATTCAAGCCTGAGCTTGTGTGTGTTGGCACCTGCGGGCATGACTGTCGTCCGGAAATTGACTGGCCTTACTGGCCTTGTAACACCCCATTTTTCTTAAACTAAATTAAAGTACTAAAACCAAATTAAGATAAACTAGGCAGCGGAAAATCAAATCAAACTTAGTGGGAATGTCACCGCCACAACCACCTTTTCCACAGGCTAAGGGTAAAACTAAACATCAATTCAAACTAACATCCGAAATATACTACATGTCTATCACCGACAAAACAAAAGGTGTCTACATCCATAATCTCAAAAACAACGACAATAGATCAAAGGGTTTAGACTACATAGCAACTAACTACATTATTCTAACTCGAGCAACTCTCAAACGCTGGGCCCACCTGAAAGGGGTTTTGCAAAACAACAAGTAGACAAGTAGAAAACACCCGTTAGCACGAAGCTAAGTATAACCACACTCAACCCTGTAAAATACAACAGTATATACTTTGGAAAAATATTTGATCACATTCCCAAATTAAGCAATCTCAATCACTTACACATAACCTTAACATAATCCACAAAGCTTTCTATATGCTCACAACCTAAAATATCAAATAGGCATACTTCGACGATATCAAACCTAACAACTTGCTCATACTATCGCATACTTAACATAGCAAATCTCAATCCTATATATCAACTCAATAACAATCTCATGGTAACACATTAACTTATCAAGCAATTTCGTGTCATCAATCAATAAGAAATTATTCTCATGCTTTCAAGTTCTCATCATGCAAACTAGAAATATCAAACATCAATATGCAACTAAGGTAATCATACTCAGATCAATATAAAATCTGGTGCAAACATTCTCATTATGCAATCTCGTGCAACATTCTCGTTATGCAATCAGATGCTATAAGATAAGTATACTTATACACTCGTTTGTAAATAGAATACTTCTGTGGAGGTTTCTTAGAGTCACAATGACTCGCTTTCTTTCTCGTGAGTCTCTTGACTCGATTTCTTTCTTGCTCAACTTTCTCATACTTCTCGTTTCTCTTCTTGTGTAAGGCAGGTACTCCGCCACAGCGAAGCCCTAGCGTACGTTGCAATCTCGTGCATCCGCCACATCCGTAACTAAGGAACCTCTAACTCGTGGGGAGGTAAGTCTTCACGAATCGTGAATGGACCTAACCGGCTCGGCAATCTAGTCGGCCACATACTCAACTCGCCCACAGAACCACTCTCTTGGTTGCTTTCTTTCTTTCTTTCTTGCTTGTTTTCGGTCACATCTTTCTTTCTTGCTTGCTTTCTCTGTGGAATCAGGTATCGTACTTTTAGTGTGCACACCCCCTAACCAGGAATCCAAGCCTGGCGGGCAGTCTCCAACCTCGTAACGTGGGAATACACCGCGTTACATGTTCATGGGATCGCAATGTCCGCTCATCCTCTCTGAAAGGACATATTCCTAACGGGCCCTCCAAGACCTCACTAATATATATATATATATATATATATATATATATATATATATATATATATATATATATATATATATATATATATATATATATATATATATATATATATATATATATATATATCATGCACCAAACTTTGTCACATCTCAACAACTTCTCAATGCAACAAGGTAATGACATACCACATGCTCATGAATTTTGGAAAATAATACTTAGACTTACGTTGGCCATTTATGAATTTATAAAACATGATATGCTTGACATGTAAGATTATTGTACAATCATACTTCAGTTCTATATATAACAGACTATAATTTCCTTGGAACATAAAACACACTTGAATCATGCTTTTCTAGCAACACTTAATCACTTAATGATCATGCTTCTCTATTTAACCCTCTATTAGCATCAGGAAGATCAGATAGGCAATCTAAGTCTGATACAACTCACTTGCACATTTCTGTAAACAATTTCAATACAAATTCTATCATAACATGCTCATTTATAATCCAAATTCATCGAAATCAAAGGCCAAACGTGCGTCATGACGGCCCCAAGGTACCGAGCCACAAGGGCCCGTGACACCCGGTCCGAAACGACACGTAGCTGAGGCACAAGAGCCCGGCCACTGCACAGGAAGCCTGCAATGGTCCTGGCGGCGGGGCTACGGGAGGCCCGCCGCCTGGAGCCGTCCAGCCACGGCTCCCCTCGTGGGCCGTTGGCTTGGTCCGTGACTTCCACTGGTGCACACTGTGAGGTGCACCAGTGGCTTTTCCTTCATCTGCAATGCAAAACTAGGCAATTTTCCTCTTCCAAAACATCATACAACATCAACAAGTCATCTAATAGCTCA